GGTCCCTTAGTATTTTTTAAGCAGTGCCAGTTTTAGTGTATAATAGCTGTAATGACTTGTATAGAGCTTTATTTTACTATAGCACCCCCTAGAGGCAAAACATGACAATATATTCGCGGCTGGGTGGAATATTGAACATTTATAGCAGTACAAACCGAGCACGCACACAAGCGCTTGTTAGCCACAGAAAATGAAAAGTCTCAAAACAAACAACATTATTCAGGGTCGTCCAGTGACGCTTGCCGACTCTGTTCCTACACATTTCCTCTCTTCAAAGGGTTCGTCCTGCACCTGCATCAAGTTTGGGACGTCAGATTACTGTTGTAGTAGAGACAAATATATATATATGTCACTCTGTTCTCAGCCCCATCAGAACTGTGAGAGTTTGTTGCAGCACATGCACGACACGGTCACACTTTTCTTGACAAACAAGAAGCCTTTATTTTATTTTTTAAGTGGAAAACAAAACCGCTGTTTCATTCATTATGATCCTGATTATGCACAATCAAGTATCTTAAGTGCACAATTTTAATCTAAGGTAATTGAGATAAGAATATAAGTTCAAAGGAGTTAATGATTGATTTCCTGTATACACACACAAGCCTTAAAAAAAAACCTTCACAATCCCACAAGTGTTGTGATATTGTTTCTGATTTAGAGGAGTTCAACTTAATAAAATTCGATCTAATCAAACAGGAGAATAAAGTTTGAAAAATCTCTCCTGCAGAAACAAACCACAGCAGAAAGGGAGGGGGGGGGTGTTAGTCGAGCACAAACGGGTCTGCAGCCCCTCCTAAGCTGGAATCGTCCCACATTAAAGCCGTGTGTAAAGCACATAGACGCGTCATCTGGAAGTAAATGTTTTCTGCATAGGCTTTGCTGGAAAGAACCAAACTTTCCTGGAAATTGTACGTAAAATACTCTTCTGGGATTTTCTTCATCAAACCAGCCCTGAAGTTTGAGTTTGGGGCATTAATGGGACGACGTAGTGTTTCAGGATTGTGGGGACGGAAGCAGCGGCCATGTGTCTGAATATACAATAATTAAATGCATTTTACAGTCTGAAAGAAGAAGCTGCTCACGCACATCAAAAGGAAGAGGTTCTACATTAATTTCTTCTCACTACAGAGTGCAAACCAGATGCTTCACAACAGACCTTTGTGTGTTTGTGTGGTTTTCTTTTTCTTTTGGAGAAGACCAGCTCTTCCCACAAACCAACCCTCCCATTGTACATAAACCATTTCCCATTCAAATAAAATAAACATAAGAAAAATTAATGTAGTCAATACGGAATGTGAGGAAATTAAATCTTTGTGATTCAAACCTTTCGTTTGACAACAGAAATAAAACTGAGTCCTT